CCCCCTCCCCCACCCCATCTCAGCTGTCTGGGGCAGGAGCTCTGCTTGCTGGGGCTTGGCCCCTACCTCATCTCGTTCCTGACAGGGAACCGAGAGGCCGGAGTGCCGGCTCTGCCCTCGCTTAGGCAGAGCCGCCTTCCTCCTCTGTGGTGGGAAAAGGGTAGTGAAATCCAGAAGGGTTGTGACGACACGACTATGGGAGCGAGCCTGAGACAGGACCTTGGTGCGTGATGTGCACAGAAACAGGGCTGTGAGGAGGGAAGGATCTGTACCCCTAAAATGCATCGGGGGCGTAGACAGCATCAGTGAGGTTTTTACAATAAATGGGGGATTTTAAACAGGAAGGTGTTGACTGTTTTCTGTTTTCCTGAGAGGGTGGACAGTGATTTATTGTGTTAAAATGCTTATCAGTCTATCTTCTGGGGGGGGTCTTCCTTGGAATACTAAGCGTTTTCTTCAGCAAGTCACGTGTTTAGCTGTGTCATACTCACGGTGAGAAAAGAAAAGCTTAAAAGCTTTAATGATTAAAGCATTTCACATAATTTTCTGAAATGTTGGCAAGCAGATGCAGTGTTTAGAATCTGTCTCTTATAAGCTGGGCGTTTCCAAGCAGAATGGAGAACCGTATGACAAAATAAATGCACCTAGGTGCTTTTTCTGTTTGCTTTCCTTATTTGCTAGATAGCAAGTAGCTTTCTATGAATAACGGAGACAAATAAGACAATATGCTTGTTGGCTACCTTGCCCAAAGTATGAATGATGCATTCCATCTGTCCATGTGCGAGTCTACCAAAATCTGCCTTGTTCAGAAGCATCGATGAGCGTCTGTTTTTACTGTTGTCACTTTCTGAGTAAATTACCCTATAACCTTACAGAAATAAAAACTTTGCTCAACTTCAATACACAAGGTGCAGGCTAATTGACCTTGCAAATTAAACCAGTTTTAGATATGTGATCTGTATCCCTTTCATTGCAGTAAATTGCACCTGAGACTGTAGCAAGGTCAGGGTGAGAGGGGCACCATCTCCATGTCTCATTTGTTTCATAAAATGTGAGTGAGGAAGCAGTAAAGCCCTCTCATCTCTTCCTTTCATCTGCTTAGTATGTCAGAGCAGTCTTACTGTTCTTTCTGACACGAGTGAGTACAGCCTTTCTTAAAGGGGAATGTTACTGCGTGCCCAGGATGAGTGGAGCAGCTGCCAACCTGTGAAAGTTAGGGAGGGCTTTTCTTCATTCTTTAGAGCTCTCTTGTGCACTGCTTCACTCCTGTGATGCTTATGCCTCTCCATCCAGGTTTACTAAGCTGAGTCAAGAGAGATGAACTGACCACGTTAGGGAATTCCAGTTTCATGCAGATGAGAGAAAGCTACTTTTTCCTTTGGTTAGCAGCAAATCATCAATAAATCTGACAGTGGATGTTGGGATAACTGTGTGTGTGTGTGTGCATGTGTTAGAGACAAGAAGGAAAGATATGGGGAAAAAGAAGTACAGGTGCTGGGTGGAACAGGTGGGAGGGAGGAACAGAATTGTGTTTGACATTGGGTTGGTCTGTATGCTGAATGGTTATCTTGTAGCTCTGAATGATGAGCACACGCATAAGAAACAGGTGGACTGCATAAACTTCAAGCAGATCATCACTTCAGCTTCCTAGAAGCAACAGATGAATCTTAAGATGAATTGCTGGCAAACCGTATTTTTAAGTGGCTATATATCTCTGGCTCTGGTCTGTTTTTCCTGCAGTTTGGTGTTTCTGTGAAAAAGGGGCATTACTGTTGCTTTGCTGCTGATAGGCTGGCCCTGATGCTGCCTTGAAGAGATCAGTTAATGTTACAGAGACTTCAGCATTAAACCAGGGGAATGTACTTCAATGTTTTGATGTTGCTAAATAAGAGTTTAATTTCTCTAACTTAAGCTAGGTGGCTAAGATGAAGGGCCTACAAGTAAATATTTTAGGACTGTTGGGGGGAGATTACTAAGGAATGTATTACTGTTAACAATGCCTTCACAAAATTACAAAAAAATATGAAAGCTCTTTTACGATGAAATTAAAACTGTTGTTCAGGATCTGATTTAGTTCAACTTTGAACTCCATGATACTCAGGGTATAAATCTCCGATAGTTACCTTATGGATAAAATGAATGAACGAAATCCATACTTTAGGGATAAAATATATTTATGAAAATGTTCTAAGGTGAAAGATCAGTATGAATTATTTATCTCCAAAGAAGTGTGAGAGCAAATAAATATATATTTTTTTTCATTTTTCTGATGCAGCTTCCTGGTTTTGGCCATTGGTAGTGCATGGCGGCTTATCCTAACTCTGTCCTGAAGTGAGGTGGAAAATTTGACCAATAATCCAGCATCAGTAAGAAAACCAAGGTAATGATAAGCATGTTTGTGGAGAGGTGGTATGAGAAGACTTGCAGATACTACTTAATTTTTTCGTGCTTAAAAATATTATTTAAATACCCACTGCAAATAGCTGTGTTTTCACGACAAAAACAAAGTGCTAATTAGAAGATGTGCTTGCTGTCTAGACTATTATGTTGCATAACATGAATAATGCATTAACGATAATATGAACTTCACTGTGCTTCATCAGAGTGTCTCATTGGCAACATGGCTGTGTTAACTACAGCTGCCTTTTCTGCAATAGAATTGTATTTCTTGGTATTCCCTTACTGTTATGTCTGATTAGGAAAACAAGTTGCAGTCTAGAACTCATGTTGTAGTATGCCTTTCTAGTACACAACATCATTGTTGAAACAGTAGAGCTAAATATATAGAGGAGCATCAAGATAGAGATGTGTTAAAAGTTTTAGATGAGTAATTTGTTTAGAGAAATATGATAAGCGAGAAGCAACTTCAACAGAGTATTTTAGAAATTGACTGCCCAAAGCAAAGTTCATTTTCCTCATAGAGCAATGTGTTAAAATGCCCCTAAAGCTAAGGGACAAATATCTGCCTTTATGTACCAGGAATTGCTTTTTGTGGTGGTGGTGTTTTGTTCTGTTTTCAAACAAGAAAAGACAACATGCTTGCCTGTGTACCTTCCTGGAAATTCCGTTTTTGATATGTAAGGCTTCCTACCTGTAAGCTCTTCAACGTTTATACTTCAGCTGCTAAGATGCCTGTCTCTAATTTCTCTTCATTACAATTTCATTGTTTTGGTGCTGGGTAACTTCTCCTTTTATTTGTAAAGAATAAACTTCAGTGTTTTTAACATAATACCTACTTGGCACCAAGTGGCAATTTGTTAGTTGTCCTATATGAAGTATGAAGGGTGTGACTCGGATGTGTATCTCAGGTGAATCTTGGTGGAAGATGACTGTGCATCTCTAAATTGTCCATCAGAGAGCAACCAAGTGCCCTGACCTGATATTTTGCATAAAGCCCTTGTGGCTCAGAGCCACAAGACACGTGACACGCTGTGGGCAGCTGGAAGAGGTGTTTTCTGGACACATAGAGGCGAAACAGTGCTGTAAAACCAATGAATACAGCTGCTGTTGTCTATAGCATCCTCTGGATCACTGGCTTCCTCTCATAGTCTGATTAATCTTGATATGGGAAAGTATCTCAAGCAACTTTAGTCCTATACAGACCTTTGTCTAGATTATAACTTTTGATGAGGACCGTGCTGTGCTGCTCGGTAAACTTCTGTATGATGTACTGATTTTTTCAATAGGATTAGGAGCAATAACTTGAAAAATGAAAGTGGAACTTTCATTAGAACTGTGTGGTCTAATGATCTTTTAAATAGAAAATCTTGGTTAGAATATTATAAAAACAAACAAACAAAAAACCAGCGTGTTGTCTTGCTTCCTGGAGAGAAACTTTCAATATTCTGATCATAACAAAACCAATGCTCAGTTCTGTTTTTCCTGCGGTCCTTTTGCTTATATCTAAAATGGTGCCTGTTTCAATTTGCTTTCTGTAGTAGAACCACCTTACTGTTTATAATCTTTGACTTTTTATTTTTTTTGTTCTTGTATTTTTAAACAAACAGCTATTTTCTGGATATCACAATTATGGGAGATGTAAAAATGATCTAATTGGGTAATAATGTATATTGTTGTAAGGCTGAGCTTTTGCTGCATCGCAAAGACATACACATGCACTTCCACAGCAAATCCTCAGAAGTATAACTTCCTATATAACTTTTTCCATGACAGTTTATAGGTCAATATTTTTCCAGAAATGGAGAAAAGTTATTAAAAGTCACATTTAAAAGCTTTGTCACTTTTTAAAGGTCTTTGTATTTAAATTCCGAGCAGTGAGCGCAGTCAGAACCATTCATTTTGAGTGTCTAATGTTTCAGGGTTCTGTTTTGCCCATGAGCTTAAATGTGTCCAGAAAGCTTCCCAGGAGAGCCTTCTAACAGGGATATTTTGAAACAATTTAAAGTTTCAGTGCTGTCATGAAAGACATTTTAATAATTAGCAGTCCGGTGTTCTGGAATGTTCTTAATGTTTTGTTGACAGATATCTAGACATCAGGAGGCCACCATGAATGGGCAGCTGGACTTAAGTGGCAAGCTGATCATCAAAGCTCAGCTTGGGGAAGATATCAGGAGGATTCCTATCCATAATGAGGACATCACCTATGATGAGTTAGTACTAATGATGCAAAGAGTTTTTAGAGGGAAACTTCTGAGCAATGATGAAGTCACAATAAAATATAAAGATGAAGGTAAGGTTTAATTACTAGTTTTGTTCTGAGATGATTTGCCTAAGGACAAAAACAATAATAATAATAATAATAATAATAAACTCTTAAATTCTCTAAAATGCCATTAGTGGATGAAAACTATTTTCAAGATTCAGCCAATAAATAACAGCTGTATTTCTTATGACCGTGCTTGTAGCACAACATCTCTGAAAAATGGGCTGTCTGATGGTTCACTTTTCATTGTTGCAAAAAGCTGATGCTCTTGCAGATTTCTCGTGGTGAGATTGGAGGCAAGAAGTACATAGTAATAAGATGCTATAACAGAAGCTCTTAACTGAAAAGCTTGATTTTTGTAGTAGGAATTCTTGATTACCTTTTCCTTCATCAGTGAAGTTGAGAACAAATGTTTAACTTAACCTAAAGTATTTATTAAAAATATTTTTTCCCTTGTGTGGTGATTTGAGTCTTTTGGAAATTGGTTGTAAATAATTTATGTTTCAAAGAAAGTTTCAATCACAAGTGCTAAACAAATGCAACTTCTAGAAGGAATCTTTGACATGCTGAATAAGAAAGGCCTTGTTTGAGATGTGTGGCGTATGAGAATAAGGGAGTGTCAGTGTGGGGAGATGGAAAAGCTACTTAATCTGGGGGAAGACTGGACTTTGTTTCTTGCTCCTGTTGTCTCAAGCTTGTGATTGTCAAGCCTGGATATGAATTTTTCTGCTTAATACTTACAAAATATCAAAATATGCAAAATATCATGGGTTTGTTAAATCTTCATCAAACTTAGAATGTTGAGTCCCTGGATACCAAAGTGAAGGAAAACTAAATTGAGGTCTGCTTGTGCCAACTTCTGTCTTGATTCTTCTGCCTGTTTTGAGAAAAAGGTTTAGGAACCACTCAAAATGAGCATATAACTTTAATTTTTTTATTTATGTGTGTATATATATGTGTGTATATATATGTATCCCTCTGTGCATAATTACCCTGCATTCACATGTTATAAAAACTTTCTTTTGTGATATGCACAAGTCTAGCTTGTTGCTTTGTCTCAAGTTTTTTTGGGGGGGAAAAAAAAGACTTTTCTTAGTAGGTAGTCTTTAGTCTGTAAATCAGAAATAAGGATATAAGCCTTAATGACAGGAAAAAAAAAAACCCTGTTTTCTAACTCTGCTTTCAAATTTTTCATTTTTTTAAAAAAATACAGCCCCGTTTTTCAATGATGCTAATTGGTAACCTTTTGTTTTTCTAGTAGCTTCAGAATCAAATAGGGAGTGCTATTTTTAGTAATGAAGTAAGCCGTCTGCCGTAGCATGATGTTTAGTAGGTACTAGGCTTTGCTTTTAACATAACTTTTTTCACATTCTTTACAGATGGAGATCTTATAACAATTTTTGATAGCTCGGATCTTTCCTTTGCAATTCAATGCAGTAGGATACTTAAGCTGACACTATTTGGTAAGGATATATAGATATATATTTTTTTCCTTTATTTAAAAATTCTGGTGGTGGTCCTCACTGGATATTTTAAATAGCTTTTAGCTCAGGTCGTCTCAGAAGGATGAAATCAATAAGTTAAAAGTAGTGGCTTAATATTCAGAATTTGTTTTTCCTCTTGCTGTTTTATGAGACATCTGAACTTAAGGAAACAAAAACTATCTTCCTTCCTTCATGAATTGCTCTAGTGTTAGCTGCATATGCTGCTTGCTTAAGTTCACTTTCTGAAGGGACACATACCCACCAAAACTAATGTTTGTAGTATTCAGCATGTGGAAATGAATATACAGAGCAGAAACTCACTGCAAAATTTTTTTCTCCAGTTCTGGTACAGTATATTACGTTGAACTGAGATTATATTAAATGAATAGTAAGCTCTAGAATGAGCTTAGTCTGTTTTGACTCAGTGTATATCAATGTAAATTCTTCACAGAAGATGATAAAAAGTGAGTAAAAAATGGTGTGTCCTTCCTCCACTCCTCCCTGCCCCTCCACAGTCTTAAACTGGATCCCAGTCTTAAATTTATTTACTTGCTCTTTTGCAGTCAATGGACAACCAAGACCCCTAGAATCTAATCAGGTGAAATATCTGCGTCGAGAACTGATAGAACTTCGCAATAAAGTCAATCGTCTGCTGGACTGTCTAGAGCCGCCAGCGGAGCCTGGGATTTCTGCTAACCTGCCTGAAAATGGTAGGCAGTCAGAATTCTTCTGTTTACTCTGCAGAATTGTGTGCTGTTTAACAGAGCGAAAAATGGGATCTTGACTATTAATTGAGAACTTTCTAGGTTGACGCTTGATAGCTTGGAACTTAGTTTTTAATGGTTTAGTGATCTGAGAGGCAGAGCTTATGTTATTTGGAGTAAAGCACCGTGTTAGAAATAAATAAAAAACTTCTGAGTTTGATCAAAGCATTGTAACAGTCAGAATAAAGTGTTGACAGGGCTTGAGCAAAATTAATGAGAGGAGACCTTTCCCCCATCTGAGTGCTCCCATTGCTTACTTGGGGCTGCTCTGGTGCTTGCCTTGTTGCCAAGCAAGTTTGATTTATTAGAATAGCAAAAAGCTTGTTTAGCAAAATTATATTCACTTTTTTTGCCAGGTTAGGAAACTGAGTCTACTCATTTTCTGATCAAACCAGCATCAGAGCTGCCTTGGGGTAAGCAGCACAAGGGTGCAGATAATGGTGGAAAGTACTGAAATGGGGGGCAAAATGGGGAAGGAAGTTTTGTTGTCCTGGTTTTGAGACAGTGAGCTCCTAGCTTATGACTGTTGTACTGAAGAACTGTGCCTCTAGATTTGTTCAAGTATCCTCAATTGCAGATTATGGGGAAGCTGGAAACAGAGAGTTAAAAGAAGAGCTCAAATTTTTTTTCTAGAGAACAGCAGCTTTGTGTTTAACACTGAATACTTTTTTTTAACAACAAAACCAACCAAAATTCAACCACTATTGCTACAGTATAAGCAGTTACTCATTCCATGGAATACCAGGGTTATTAACCCTTTGGAAGGAGGTTAATGACCTTGGGCTGGTTGCAGAACTAGCCAGTTTAAACTATGTGTGTCATTAAAGTGAGAGCAAAGCACTGTTAATAGGTCTTTGAGTGATGCAGTTTTATTTGTATAATAAGGAGATGAACTTCACTTGCCGCCTTAGGCGGGAGGGAGGGAGGGAATAAAATAATGCCAGAACACAGTTGACAAAAGTGTAAACTGGAAGTTATGCTGCAAGCATTCTTAATTTTAAATTCTCTGTTAACAGTCTGTATTGAAAAAATAGGGCAAAGCAATAGCTTTGTACCTTTGAACTTGCGACAGAGGGGGAGAATTGATACTTCGTAGTGTCATTTATCTTTAAGTAACTCTGTGCAAGAAAACTGAAACTTTGTGATGGGTCATTAAGGTTGTATTTGGAGACATAATATTTGCTGTTATTCTAAGGCATGCATTTACAACAGTTAAAATACAGAGTTAAAAAAATCTGTTTAAAGTTGCTGCAATATAATATATACTTATGGTGGGTTCCCAGAATTAATCATGTTGTCGAGGATTAATAATGGGGTGTTTTGTTTTCTAGATGCTGTGGATGGTAGGGAAGAAAAACCTGCTGCTGCTGACTCTACTGTTAAGCCATCTACTCAAGTTATAGCAGCAAGCATGTCTGCATTTGATCCGCTGAAAAATCAGGATGAAATCAGCAAGAATGTCATGTCAGCATTTGGCTTGACAGATGATCAAGTATCGGGTAAGAACACATCCAAAGACAGGAGCATGAAATTTGTTTGTAGTTGATGACTCAAGCATTTAAAAATCTTTGTTTATACAAAGAATTTATATTTTGGATATATTCAGCCATGTTTCTTATTCACTGTTCCTTTACCAAATTCTAAAGCTTGGTATATTGAAATGTTGTAAATGGACTTTCTAACTTATACAAAGCAGTGAAATACTACTCTTAGTTTTAGCTATGCTTGGAGTAGAAGAAGGCTTAGTATTCTTCTAGATCTTTTACTAGAGTAGTAGATGTCAAAATGACATCTGTTATGGTAGTGGTATCTTCCAAGATACCAGTGTATTAGTAAACTAGTATGAGCACTGACAGCCTTTGAATGTGAGGTGGTTTGGTCATGTTGGGTGTCATTGCAATTATCTTGGATGTTCCAACTGTGAAGTGTATTGGAATGTAGGACTTAACCATGCTTGTTTTTTTGTTTATTTATTTATTTATTTCTGTGCCTGTAAACCTCGTAGCCTCTACGACAGCAAGCTTTGTAAAGCTCTCACACTGCGTAGTTAAAGGGGAATTGAGGTGGGGAAAGAGACACTAGCAGCACTTGGAGATTGATCACATGGTTATGTCCACATAAACAACAAAAAATAAACTGAATGGTGCTAATGGCCTGGTGCCCACACTACCTCTGTCATGCATGGGGGACTCTGGCTAGCTCTCGTGTAGTCCTGGTGACTGAGTAGCCTATTAGCAGTTGCAGCACGTTAAATGTGCTTCTGCTGTGCGTCCTCCTGGACTGTTTCCCTGTGTAAAATGAAGTGTGTAGTAAGGGAGAGTACCAGGCAGACTTGCTTCAGAATTCCAGCCTTGACCTGAAATAAACTCTGGCATAGTGGATGTTGGAGCGACCTGCATCTATATGTGCTGAATTCGCATCACGTGAGTGGAAAGTTAGGGAAGAGAGAGCATAAGTCCTGAGCTTTTAATCTGGAACTTTATGTGTGTGTGTAATTTTGTGTGTAAAATTAAATTTGCAGAAATGTTAATACATGTGCTGCAAATGTAGTTTAGTGTCCTTGTAATCATAGGTAGTAGTTGCATATGTAGGAGTCAGAAGGATCTGGTTTTAAGCATCTTTGTTTCTAAGAAAATGGGTTTTTTTAATTGTAATGCAGTGTACCTAATCACATAGGCATTTCAGAACTTCTAATCACCTTCTTCTGCGTGCTAATCAGTAGCTGGAATATTTTCAGAGATACTAAAGCAATTCTTTTGAGACAGAAGTCTACCATACCCTGTCTGGGAGTGCAACTATAAAACATAAAACAGTCTTTGAAAGTTTTCTATCTGTTGGTGTGCTGTTTGAGTTGAGTAAAACACTAATTGTCTGGGCCTGTGCAGGCCACAACAAAACACTGCTGCGTTAGGATGATTTTGGACAATCTGGCTTCTCTGCTTCAGATGAGAAAGAACAGACATGTGTGTACACTCTGTCCAAATGGAGGAAGTCATCTTCAGTGCATGTCTGCCAAGTTAAAACATGAAGCTGCAGAAAGACCATGTTATTACTGAGGATTTTATCCCCAAAATGGATCACCCCTCCCTGAAAATGAGATCTGTGTCACTTTGACCTAAGCAAAGGGGGACAAGTGGGAAATCACCACAGAAATTATTTCCAAAGGCATGCTAGTATAGATTTGCAAATATACTTAGTTTCACTGTCTGCCTGACATTCTCGCTACACATCTATGGAAGAATGGAAAAATTTCTTCTGTTAAAACCTTTGTAAGGAAATAGTCTTGCATGAAACTTCTATTCAGATTCCTCATTCATTTAATTCAATAATTCTGTAGGACCACCCAGTGCCCCTGCCGAGGAGCGCTCAGGAACCCCGGACAGCATCGCTTCCTCCTCCTCCGCAGCCCATCCGCCCGGGGTGCAGCCGCAGCAGCCGCCGTACGCAGGAACGCAGCCGCAGCCTGCTCAGGTGGAAGGTGAGCAGCCTCCTTTTCCACCCTTTGAGATGGGTGAATTTATATTGGTTAAGATCTCTCGTTGCTATACTCAAAAGTCCATTTCAAAATGCCAAATGGTGAAATTCTTCCATGTGTAATATATAAACAGCAGGTGGAGCTGTAGCCCTATGGAAAAGGGCAGGTCCCATACACTAAAAAGGACTTTTCGTGTAGTATTTTATCTTTGCATCTATGTTCATTTTACTACAAAGGAGCTTGTATAATACACTTTAAAGCTGGTTGAAAAATCTTAGTTTGTAGCATAGATGCTGCATGTTGGGTCAAGTGATGGTTAAGCAGTTGCTTTCATTTGATGAAGTTTTACCAGTGATGTTGGCTTGTCAGTATAAATAATGTTGTTTACTAAACCACTACTATCTGACAAAACAGACATTATTGTAGCAAGTTTACTCTTATTTACTATTTATTATGTATTCTTCTTTGCTAGCCATCTTAAACCTCATAACTAGGTAGTAGCCTAACCTTCACGTGGGCATCACTGTTTTCCTTTAAGTTTAAGGTATTGACTCTGGTATTCAGATTTCTTGGTGTTATGCCCTGTTGTGATTTGACTTCTAAAAATAAACCTTTTTTTAGATGTTTGTATCATTTTGACATCGCTTTCTGTTGTGGTTTGTGAAAGCACTGAGCCTCTAGATGTGCGCAGCTCTGGATGAAACTCAATCTGTAGAACAACTTCCTTCTGTAATTTTACCTCCATATAAAGTACAATAAAAAGTTCTTCCTTTATTTTAAGGAGATGTTAGTGATAGTGTTAAGAGGATCCACAATCATTTGAAATATCCTGGAAAGGCCTGGAGGGCACCAGTAACATTTTTACTGAGAAATGCATTTGACTAGCTTGCTGTCAGGCAAGCATGAATGCTGTTGGTAAAACTAGAGCATATAAAAACATTTGTTTTGCAACTTTTAGCCTTTTTTCCCCTGAAAAATAAATTTTGATATCGGATTAATATACAGAAATAGAAGCTGCTGAAGCTAATATACTGGAGTTAGATGGATTGCTTTTGCTAAAATTAGGTGAAGGCAAAAGCACTCAGTGTAAAAAAAGGTGCTGTACTTGCTTAAGTCCTTTATTTTTAAAGTTTTCCTGTGTATAAGAACACAGTAGGGCTGATTATAAGTGTTTTTGTCCACAGTTTATGCAATTTTTGTTTCTACTGAGGTACTCTTGCATTCAAAATTCACCTTGCTGTGGATAAAATGTTTCTTTCATATCCTTTACCTAGCCTCTCCAGCAGGTGCCAGTGTGATATCTGTGCTAGCCTAGAGGTAGTCATCTTGAGACAGGCAGCCTCTTGTTTTTTCTCCTTAAACTTCCTCCTACAACTAAGTTTAAAATGCATATATATTTTTTCCATTCCTATTCTCAACTGTCAAGGTAACGGGATTAAATATTTTCTGACCTTTGTGCTGAGCGCTGGTTTAATGCCATAGTACTTGTGTGGCAATTCTGAAAAAGGTATTATACCAGCATAAAACATTCTGTATGTCTTAGTTTGAATGCAAAGTACTGTTGCTTTCAGTTATGAATAAAGCAGAGAAAAAAGGAAATAGGAAGCTTCCCTAAAGCAGCACACAGGGATATTGGCAGACTTAGAGCAATACTGAGTTGCTTTTGACTGCCTTGACCCATGGGTGCCACTCAGAAGATAGGAGCTTTGCAGTTACACAGGCTGCTGATCTCTGCAGAAGGAATGATGGTGCAGTAACTTTGCTCCTAAAGTGTCCATGTCTGCTCTAGTGCAGCTAAACTTTAGTTTAGCAGGTAATATGGTTCTTTGACTATGCTTGTTAATAAAATGAAAAGCAGCAGCAGCATGAAGCCTAAACAGGGCATGAGTTAAGTCTAAACATTTGTTCTGCCTCTTCTTGTCAAGAAATTGGAAATAGTGAATTTAGGAAAAATTAGCATTGAACTGGAACATACAACCTCTGGCTTTATTTTTACTCCAGGGTGTATATGCCTGAGGCTCTTAAGAGAACTTGGCTTAAAACAAGGCAGATAATAAGGAATGACTTGTCTGGTGAATGTGGTCAGAATAAATAATATACCACTGTGCTTACAGTACTTTGCAGAAATAGTCTTATAGAGATGATATAAACAGGCACTCCAAGGACATGTTTATCTTTCAGAGTACTGTAATTTACATTATATGTTCTGGAGCAGCTATCAAGTTATTTAAAGAACGATGCTGCTCTGCTCCCACCGAAAGGTAGTGTGTATAGCGAAGTATAGCTTATGGCCTCTGAAAACATGAAATAACAGGCATTGCTTAGCAGATGCAAACTATTTGTTTTACTGGAGTTGAACATCACTTATACTTCAGGATAGCCTTGTTCAGAAAATAAAAGTGGAAGTTACACTTCAGTTGGTAACAAAGAGCAATTTGAAAGGGTGTTCAGATTATATTTTCTTTAACATGTTGTGGGAACGATTGCTTCTGTCACCTAAACTGTGTGTTAGGTGTCACCTTAGTTGTTTTGCCCTGGGTCAAGGTTTGGCTGAACAAGTATTTTACTCCGTAGGCCAGATGTACCAGCAGTACCAGCAGCCTGGATACCCTGCTCAGCAGCCACAGGCGCAGCCTCAGCAGCAGCAGTATGGTCTGCAGTACCCAGGTAAGCACGGCAGCTCGTCCGAGTCGTGACTGAGCCCTGCTCTTCCTGAGCACGAGGGCAACTGAGTGTCTTTGATCCCGCTAGGAAGCGAAGGCGATTCCAGAATTGCCAGTTAAAGCGCACCGGGTAGCTATGTTTTAATGCAGAGCGGGAGTTCAGATGCTGCAGTTTAACTTGATTGTGACCATAGCAGGCTTCATAACTGGTCAGCAAAACGCAGTACAGGTAGGCAAAACAGATCATAAAATAAGTCTTGGGATTAACTTTTGTGTTCTCAGGGCTCTAGAAAACAACCATCCATCCCAATTTAACTTTCTTAAATACTGGATACATAAAGATGGCCATTCTTTCTTGTTTCTACATTAATCTCCACACACAATATTTGATGACATAAATACTGACTAGAGCTATCATTTAATAAGCCATTACTATTTATAAATAATGTGATTTGAGAAAAAAATCCAATTACTCGTTTTTCTAAGTTGTAGATATTACTCGTAACTTAAGTAAAGGTGCTACTGAACTTTTAACAGAATTACTGAGCTGAAGTCAAGTATGGTGAAGTATGATGAGTTAGCTTTTGCCTGTATCTAAAATAAAGAACGGAAAGTTTTGAAGTCAGGTTTACTTCAGAAGAAGCTGGAATGTAGTAACTAGTTTTCATAATCCAGCTCAGCACAGGGTTGAATATAGCAGATTCCACAGTGAAGCTCTCATTGCTTAATGCTTGATTTATAAAATGGCACAAACCACTTTTCATTTCTTGATTTAAGCAATATTAAGATGACCAAAAAACTCCCCATTACTACAAAGTGACTGAGAATATAGCCTGTGTGGATGCACATCTTCCATATGTGAAAGTAGACTGATTTTGGTGTAGATGAGGATGCTTGCAGAACTTACGAGCAGATTCACATGTTTATCTTGGATAAAAACCCTGTAAAACTTGGGCCTCAGCCCTCCTTTGTGTGCTCTGTGGAGAGCCTGCTCTTGATTTAGGTCTTTAAAGTATTTCTGGAGTATTTTGTTCTCTGCAGGTTTCTCACCCCTTCATATATAAATTGAAGACAGTGACAGACTTTCTGAAGTCTATTTTCTGCAGAAATAACAGGACTGTTGGAAGTAGAAGAGCCTGTCTGATTTTCTTTAGACTTTAAAACTGAATGGGGGAAAAAAAAAAAAGGACTTTTCCATCTGCTTTCTAGTCATATCCTTTTAATGAAGTTTGTTGCAGTGTGAATTCTGGCTTCTTAAGTAACATCTTAAAGCAAGAATGGAACATCACCAAGTCTTGGCTGAGGTCCTCTGTTTCTCATAACTTCTTTGATGATTAACCTATTATCAGAAACAGTCATCGTTTTGAGAACTTTTTGACAATAGCCTTTGAAAACAGTCTTGACTTATAGGTCCATTTTTCTCTTTGTCCCTGTATTTATCTCCTTTTAACTGCATGACCCCCAAGAGCAGAATCAATTCCCCTTTTCTTTGGCAGATCCCTTAGGCAAGAATGTGCTTATTTACTCAGGGTAGTGGAAATGGACCCTTCAAAAGTTGGTCTCACAAGTAAATTTTGATTCCCAGTTTCAAGGTGAGTTCAAAATTTACTCCAGCGCATTCTTCAATCCTTACCTTTCAGTCCAGGGCTGTGCACTTTTAATAATTTTTGTGTGTCTGGTGTTTAATGCTGACAGGATTCCAGTCAATGGAGAGGTTTCATTGCAAGTAGCTGCAGGTGTGTTTCACAATGGACAAAAGTAGTTATTTCTTCATAAAAGGATGTTTTGTGATTAATTTAAAGTCTGCAGTAAGAGACATTTCTTTTGGAAGCTGCTTTTTATACAGACAAATTTAGTTTGGGACATGTTTAAATGGAAGTGATGCATTTAATGTGTTTGGCTTTGTTCAACTTTTTCATATTGAATTCTACCTCAAAGGAACTCGGAATATTTATGATAGAATGAGAGAAATACTAATTTGTGAATATTAAGCTATGACAAGCTTGTTTTAGTTTTGAATTTTTGCTTGAAAAGATAAGGTTAAAAAAACCTATCCTCGGTTAAACTTTTGATTTGCTTGCCTGTGAAGATTGTATTTTTCGCACGTGGCACGACGTGCCGAGCTCGCGTGGCGGGGAAGGAAAAACCGAGCTCGGGTTTTTCGCCTTTCCGCTGCTCGCGGCCTCGCTCCGCGTTGTCACCTGAGGTGCCTCTCTGCCTCTCCAGCAGGTTACAGCCAGCAGCCGCCCTCCCAGCAAGCGCAGCAGTTCCCGGCCTACAACGCACCCGCGGCGGCGGCGGCGCAGGCCCCGGCGGCCTTCGCGGGGCAG